GCAAAACTCGCAGTGTTCAAGTGTCTAGAGGGCCTTCAAGAGGACCTTTTGCAATGTCATTTACACCACAGTTCAAATATGAATTATTTCATATATACTTCACTTAATTTACACTCTTGTTAACTTTATAGAGCATGGAAACTAAGTGAAGCCATGACAAGTTACTGTTTGGAAGACAAGGATACCTCGATGTCACTTGCATTCGTTGACCTCTTGGTTCTCTTGGCCTTATGGCTTGTATCTCTTTAATATTCAAAAGAATATGGGCACTCACCATCATCCTTGCGCGGTATGGGTACTAACACCTTCTCAACGCACAATTGCCGGCTAATTTTAAGTCTTCATTAAAAACAGCAAAAAATCAGAATCACAGAAGGCAAGCTAGAACGAGCTGGAACAGGTACATCAAAAAACATAGCTGACGTAAAAGTTTAGTTCTCAGACTTCTCTCGGTCATCCGCAGCAAAGAGCGAGCGCATTGAAAACGTGCGCAAAAATTTCCCGCGTTAAATGACTTTGTTTATGTTAGAATGATCGGAACAGTACCTTTTGGCTGATACATTTTCTGTGATTGATTACGAAATCTTGGAATCTTGCTCGAGCTTCATCTCAAATTCAACAATTTTCATGACTCTTTCATGGAGCAAAGTATGCTGTTTTCAATCTTCTACTGTAATGGGCCTCTCTCTTCCTCTAATTCAGAATGAGACTAAGAAGGAAACTTTAATCTACTTTAGAAGTATTCCGTTACTAAATCGCGAAAATAAAACTTCTTCGATTTCTCCTCGATATCTCTAAATAGCTTCGCCAATTTTCAGACAATTTGATTCCATTGTAATATGTCGTAATCAGTGATTTCAAATTGCCTTGTTATGATTGTGACGTTGCTTGGACGTTTTGCTTCATTGTGCAAAACTGCGAGGAATGATGGCAGTTTTAATTCAAAGCTTAAAAGACTTTGCAGATAATCATTACCCTTTACTTGGAGCTGGCTCGGGTGCAATGCTGGCACTCGGCTATTGTTACCGCCGGAAGAAATGTGACCGACTAACTTTCCAAATCTTACGAACAACCCAACTATCACGGGAAAACTTCTGACACCTGATATGTTCTCCATACTGAAAGACAAGTGTACTTCGAAGGGTTATGACATTGATAATCTTATCGAGTCTAGCCAACATAATCTGTCGGCAAATTGCATTTCAATCCCGAACTCCGCGGGATTGCTGGCGGGCGATGAAGAATGTTTCGATCTGTTCAGTGAGCTTATTGAGCCTGTTATTGGCGAGGTTCATCAAATTGACGAGATGAAGAGATTGAGGTCAGAGGTGAACTTGAACTGGGAGCAGATAAAAGGTGGAAAGCTTCACAGAGCAAACGGGCTGTCTTGTAGACCCAGTATCAGTAGAAATATACAAGGATACCGCTTGATTCCCGGATGTCCAGCAGGAGGGCTATTGGATGTTGCTCACATGATAGTCTAGTGAAAACTCTGAACTCTATTGAGGGTAAGATTTAAGAACAATATTTATTTCATGAATTCGTCAGCCCGAGTCAACTATCACACATAGAAATCGAGAGCGAATAATCTAATTGTTTTAGTATAAATCTACAAGTCGTTCAAAACTGTACCTAAATCCTCTTCAAAGACGCTTCGAAAACGCCAAGAAGCGGTCGTCATTTTGTAACCAAGCACACACTACGCTACTCACTATCTATCGCAGAATAGATAGTGAGTAGGGTAGCCAATCAGCGAACGGCATTCGTGATAGAACGTTAGCAGATTTATACTAAAAGCTTTTAGACACTTAATTATGGCGCATTTTATGACTTTTGTCTCATGTAGAAGAGTAAAATTGAGAACGTACATAGTGGGACGACTCCGGCCGGGAGCGGAGTATTAAATCCCACATTCTAAATACAATCTAATACCGAGTAGCACAGAGTAATACTTATACACTATAGCTAATTCAGGTCTGGTGATGTGCAGGGTTAGAAATATTACAGTAAGTATCACTTTCAGACAACAGTCATCGCAGAAATTGCTGCAAAAGGCTTCTCTTTCACTTATAAAAGATTGTTCCCGCAAACAATTTACGAGCGTATCCTTCAGAGGTCACACTATGACCTGTTACTCGATCCAGCGAGAAACGCCTTCAAAATATCTTGTACTGAAGGAACTGTACCACTTTTTCAACGTGCTTTAGATTCAAGTGGCAGTCGCTGGCAGAAAAAAGTTTCAAAATTACAACCGCGGAATAGTTCTATTTTCAAGATGTAGGTTTGCAACACGTAAAAAGTCAAATTTTGAAGTACTTGTCTCTAACATCTTTCACCTCCTTGTCTAGGCAAGGATCATAATGTATGTAGGATTTCGTGTCTAACATAATCTGAAGAACTATCCATGTATATTACATATCAACAAGAATTGTTTAGAGTTTGATTTTTTCACTTCACGGAACAGGTGCCTTCGGGGAATCCTATCTATCGCTGCCAGGGCAACAAAAGAAGCTTGCTCTTCTTGATTATGGCTTGAACCCGGAATCCTTCCCGCCACAGCTGTCACGTGACTGGCCTAAGGGTCGGTTCATCTGGTTTACCGCAAACAGACAATGTCGTATATTTGTTAACTTCATTGACCACATGAAACTCGTCATAACTCAGCCTAGAGGCAATATAGAGAAGGCTTTTAGACAATACAGCCTGCTTCTGTCGGCCATAGAAGGATGCCTAACACTAAAAGGAAACAAGTTCATGTGGAGCTCAAAAAACGGATTTTTGACGAGTTCACCACATGATATTGGTATAGGACTTGAAGTGCAAGTTAAGGCTCGATTATCAAAGCTTATAATCAATCAATTAATCTTTATTTGTACTCACTCTTGCTAAAGAAAAATTACAATGTTCAATGAAAATATTAAAAGTAAAAATTAGAGTACTAGCTGCCTGGAATAACCATAAGAGCTAGCGGAGCCAGGCAGCCAGTTAACATCAGCATTAAATAGAAATACAATACACGTCAGCAAGAAAACTGAAGCACAAATGCACTCACAAGAAGAAAAAAAAGAAGAGGAAAAACGCTATTTCTATGCTATGAAGGAAGTCTAAAATAGTTAAAGTTATATATGAATACAAAACATTAATATAAGAAGAGCACACAATAGCTATGGCAACTAATAACAGCTGTGGCAACTAATAAACTATAAAGTTGAAAACTATGTACAACAAAAACACGGACTACATAGCCTAACCTCGTTCCCAAGGTGATTTACTACAGTATTCGAAAGGAGGACAAGGGCTCAGGGAACGGGGCTGTAAATAACCCTGGATTTTAACATCTGTTTACATGTAACGACTACATACATTTACAATATGTGTAAGGACTACTTACACTACTCAGCCTACACTTCAGACCGAAACCGGCTATTCAAATAAAGACGGTAGAGACATAGCCTACAGCAGTCTACGAGCTGGCGCGTGACGCAAAACTGAAAGCGCGAGAGGAAAAAGGGCGGGCATGCGAGGACAAGAGGGCGAAAACGAGAAGGTCGCTTTTCTTTCTCGCTTTCTTGTCCTCGCGCAATCTTCAATTTTTTCTCTCGCGCTTGCTTTCACCTATTGCTCGATGATCTAAAAAGGGGGACTACACGTAAATCTACATTCTAATTGAGTCGTAGATTCTTTCTTGGTAGAAAGTCTTCGCAACATAGTCTTGTGCGTTATCAAGGTGATGTAGAGTGAGCAGGGTCTACTAGCTCTGAACATCTCCACTAACAAATCGCGTGATCAGCTTCAGGACTATAAAGTTTTTAACAGAGCTAGAGCGTGACAGTGCGCTAATTTTAAATTACCTACTTCCGTTTTTCCTGAGGATACCATATTTAAAGGAATAATGCCGGCGACGTGCTGCCAATCAGGCTAGAACTTGCAGGTGAGACTGACCAAAAGTGAAATGAGATGGGATAGAACCATGATGATGTTTCTAAATTTTCGCTTGTTTATCTCATTATTGCCGTGTTTAATAAAATGACAAGGTATTAAGTAGCTATTTGCAAATCACTAGAAACGATAGCTACTGACTAATGTCATTTAGCTTCATTTCGATATTTGCCTCGTTTTCCAAGATGACATAGCTAGTCATTATCAGATGTCGCTAAGCACTTTCGCTTGAAAGATAGCGGTTTTTTAAGTGTATTGTTTGTCCAGAAGTTACTTTCCTTCAGACATAACTACTCATTTATTTATACTATTGTTATCTGCACTCTTCACTTAACTAGTGTTATAATGTCCTTGTTCCGAGTGTTGATCTTAACAAAACTGCGCGCGCAACATGAGATTTAGCATGATGCAGGGGGACCTCTCTGGTTGATTTTCGAGACAATGGAAGTCTGAAACACCCATTTTATATTACGAACCACCCACGATTGTTATTTCCCATTCGGTTTTATAAAAACAAGATCTTGTCGAAGTAGGAGTTTCAAC